CTTGGCCCACAAAACTTGCAACGGGTGTACAAAAGCAAGGAGCAGCAAAGAGGAATGCATCGAACAACTAGACGTCTATTTGAGGTGAATCTGCAGACTCGAGTTACCCTTCCTATCCCACCCCTTCTTCTACTGTTATGTACAGGTCTAGATCCTTCTAGAACCTTCTAGAAACTTGTATGCTAGTTCATATGCTATTTCTGCGTGCCCAATTGTTGAGTTAAGGATTAGGTCGGTGACAGACTCTTCACTCTGGCGACTTGGTTGATATTTGTAGAAAAAAAGGCTTTTGGTGCCCATATTTTACTCCATCATATGGTCATACCCATGCATTCAGGGTTCAAGGAATCGAGATTCGAGAAGTTTTTTGAGGTCAACACCGGGGGGATAAGTTCTCCCCACCTGAATTTTCATTCCATAGATACCGGTCAAGCCGTGGGGTGGAAGGGCGTGGTGCCAATCCCAATACAAAGTTTTGAGAAGTACATGACAAATAGGAGAGAGAGATTACAATACTTAATAGAAACAACAAACACAACATGATTCAGCTACCAAGTCCGCCTACTAACCAAAGCGACTCCAAGCACAACTTCCCAACCTGTGCCACCACAAAAGACATACTCCAAAGAGCTCCACACCACATGCAGCTGTAAGGTATTGAGTGGGATCCAACAGACAGGAGCTAGGGAGCTGCAAGGCATTGAGTCAGAGCCAACAGGCGGCAGCCGTGAGTAGCATCACCTAAAAGCGCATCTGAGCTCCAACTAACGCCCACCAATGCCATTTGGGGGAAGGAAGCCTCAAAAGGGGAGAGTCATCATGAGGAGAACAGGGGAGATCCAGAGAGGAGATCAAGGTCTTCGCAACCTAGCATATGATGAGGCGAAGCACTCAAGTGGTCTAGAGAATGATAGAGCAAGCCGTTGATGGCGAGCACCTGACAGCAAGTAGTGTTTGTAGAAGCCAAGGGGTAGGAGGGTAGCCATACCAACAAAAAGATGGGGAGGAGAACAAATAAAGAGAGCACAAGGTCACATGGTGGGGGCGCATGGAAGCGGGTGTGCTTGCATCGATGCCTTCAAGAAGGAGAGTGATGTCCACAGATGCCACCATCGATAAATAGAGCACCAGGCCTGTAAGGGCTTTTGCCCCAAAACCTGCTTAGCGGATGCAACAAGCTCAGATTGGCCTTCGCAATAGCAGGAGCTAGGATCTGCCCTCCACTGTGGCGCCCTCAAGAGGGACACAATGTCGTTGACACCACCACCACCGGCTCTAGAAACTAGAGCTAGTTTTCACCATGAGGAGAGGGATAGTACTATAGTCATAGGGTGGAGACCTTACATCATCGACGCCTCCAAGGAGGTAAACAACACCGGAGGGCATCACCGTCGGTCGCATAGACAGGGTCATGCATGGCTTTCGTTGAAGCTCCCCAAACCCATGAACTATAGCCCGTCATCTCAGAAACCAGGAGGATGAGCCTAGGGCGACACCACGCCCACCTCCCGCGGCACCTTTGCCGCATCCCATAGCCATGAGCGCCTGCCACTAGCCCGCGGCCAGTGTCTTTGCCTTCGCGAGTTGCCACGGCAAGGCACAACATCGTGACGAGCTAGCTGTGGCAGCGGCGGGCTAGTAGCCGGCCACTGGTCCGGGCAGCCACGGCCCAGCCTGGTAGTTCGGAGCCACAGCCCTAAGACTTCATGGTGCTATGGCCTGGTGGCTAGGAGGATGATGTATATGGACGCATACGTAGACATGCCGATGTCTACACGCCTGCGCACGGGCGCGCGTGTCCGAGCATGTTGCAGGAGTAGGCCCGCATTGCACCGTGGCGACGAAAAGCACGCTGTCGAAGCTGACGGTGCCCATGTTGGTAGAGTTCATGTCTGTAGAGCACGCTGATGACAAGGGAGGCTGGGACATTGGCGGCACCAGCACGTTCTAGAGGGCTGGGGCGCGCGGTCTAGGGGCACCGCCTCCGCCTCCACGCAGTCCGCACCCGCAGGCCACACTAGTGCGCACCGTAGGCTAAGCCTCGCAACAATGTCATGCAAACTGAGGCCAGGCGCCGCCGAGCCTAGGGGTGCCTAGACCAGCGAGCTGCGAGATGCTACCGCCCGGGGCACAGGATCGCACTCACAGAGCTCACCATAGCACGTGCTATGCAGACCAACAGGACTTCGTGTCCAACCCGCCCGCCTGGTCGTCCTTGGCCTAGGCCCTACCACCGCAAGCTATAGCTGGCCGTCGTGGAGTGGACGAGCGGTGCCATGGCCCACGCCCGCCCGCCGGTGACCATGGTGTCACAAGTGGATCCGGTGGCCTTGGCATGACGAGCAAACGAGCGGTGACCAAGACACGGCCCACACCCAGCGGATCCATCGGCCCCGACATTAGATCCCAAGATCCAGCCGTGGAGGACCCGGATCCGCCCGACGATGTTGACGCCAACCACCGGAGTTGCTAGAGGAGTGGAGAGGGACTATGGGCGCCGCCCCCGGCCACCAGTAGCAGCAACGTTGAGCCGGCCTCAACCACCTGCCCTGGCCTGGAGACGGACTAGGTGCCGATGCCAGGTCTCCGAGCAGCCACACCAGATCCAGGGTGGTGGCCACCCGATCTAGCTGTGGAGGACACGGATCTACCTCATCTCCAGCTATACCGTAGAAGCATAGCAGAGTTTGGAAACAAGAAGAGGGAGGAGTGGAGGGGAGAGGAAGCTACCACTAGCTGCCTTATTGAGCGCCGTCATGGGCCGCCGCCACCGCTCGCTGGCGAGCGGCGGCGGCGGCCGGAGGGAGGTACCGGATGGGGTGATTTTGGCGATGGCGGAGGGTCGCCCCCCGAGTCGCCTCACGAGGACGATGCGGCGGTCCGCTTCCTAACCGAGATTCGAGAAGTACCTAGGCAAAACCTACCCTACTATCTGATGGAAGACTATAGCGTGGCAACCTAGTCCACCGTCGGTGATGATTACTGTACTAGCTACTACTTGCCGCTCATGCTAGTAGCCCCAGCACAAAACCTGGCTAACCGACCTCCTGGAAGCCATATCAAGGACTAGGAGACCTGGAAAACCACTTGGTCGCCAATTTCTAGGGCACCTACAACATGCCTGAGAATGTTTGGGACCTCCATGTCTACATCCATAACAAGGATGAGTCCAGCCGTGACTATATTCAATGCTTCTCCAAGATGAGTAACTTGCTCCCAAGTATCAAGGAGACATCGCTGCCTTTAATCAGGTCATCATTGATGTGAATCTAAACCACAAGATAGGATGGAAGGCTCTGACCTCCGTTAATGGGCTTTCCAGCATAGGCAACAATTACGCAGCAGCTAGGTAGTGAAGAAAGGAGACCAGGGGAAGGGCGAAGCCAGTGACTCCACTGACAAGGAAATTAGGGGCCGAGTGCCCTAACAGTGCTACACCACCCCACGCAGCAACATGAGCTTGGGAAGATGCTGGACTAGACATGCCAGTATCACCCCAAGGGCAACCACAAGATGCATGACTGCATAATTCTAAAGTGGTTCATCGAATAATTTGGTGCCAAGGTTGATGCGAGCAAGGACCTGTCCTAGGGTGGAGACTGAGGGTTCTCGAACTAGGAAGGCATTCCGATGATATTCGAGGGCTCCGATGGCTACACTTCGAAGCGCCAGCACAAAAGATCATAGCCATGGACGTCAACACGATTGCCTCTGTTGTCCCTTAGAATATTGATATATTTGTCAAAACCTTTCTTATAATTTTGTATCCTGCTATTGTTTTCACATATCATGAAATTCTCTTCTTTGTTAGGCTCAAACTCTAAATCCATTTCATAGAAATAGAATCCTCCAACCTAAATAGCAGGTGTGGACATACCGGCCATATCTATGACTCTGATAAAGAACCCCAGGGACACTGGTGACAGCAATTATTATCACAACTCTTCTACACCGCTGCCCCCATCATCTTAATATATCACATATTCACATGTCTAGTATCAAATATTTATTCGGTTTTCCATCAAGGCTGCTACATTTATTTGAGTTCCCAAACTACGTATATAGATCTTCCTAGTTTGTTCATAATTATGAACCACTGCATGTAAATTATCAGGTTTCATATACAAATTCCGGTCAACACATGGCATAATGCTACTAGCATGTATCTTATGTTTTGCAAATATGAAACAGAATTTTCAAAATTCCGTCGCATGGAGGGGCACATGTATGTTAGCAATTCCTATCTATGTAGTTTACTGTGGAGCACATATGCAAACAGTTCAAAAAAATCTCGTAGTTTGAAAAATGGAAACCCTATCAAATTAGTATATATCAATGATCAATCACTTAGGTAAACTCATCATGCATTGCCTACCAAGCCAGCGTCTACATGTGCACTTTCTTGATTAAAAGAGGACATCAAGCTAAGAAAACCACATTTATTTTGCAAGCTGGATTGGTAATCTAAACAAGAACATACAATCACAGAGGTTTCATGCATACACCAATTAACTTACTGTCAAACCGATGTCATTATTTCATCACCAACCAACTGACATAACTGTTTTGACAAGAAGACCGGAAATTTAAAACCAAGTTATCTAACGGAATTAAGTTTCAGCAAAGAGATAAATATGCAAACAAGCATAGAAAATACGAGTTTAAGCTCCCACCGGGAGCACATCAACTAACTTAAATAACCAAAGTACGATAATTCTGCAGTACTAGCCAGAATGGCAATAACATAAAACCGATGACACATCGACGATGCTCTCAAGCAGCCCCTGATAAGAGCATTGGCGGCCACATGATTGCTTCCTTGCACTCTATTGTTGATTAATTGCGGCGAAGTGAGAGCCATGAATTATGACCGCCTCTCCCTCTTCCTCTTCCTGCTGCTGGTGGAGCCCTAACAATAGTACCAAAGAAACATTGTTACACATGCAGACAGACAAATAGAGAGATACAGAGAGATGACTTGGTTACTTTGAGTTGTCTGTTTACCTAGCGTTGCTTGTTGATGCGCCTTCTCCATTATTTGTTCCAATAGATAGCATGGTAGAAACTGTAGCAGGAGCTTGGTTTGCGGTGGCGCCAGGGTAGTAGAAAGGGTAGCCAAGCACCACTCTACTTGTATCCACGACAGGGAATGGCCACTGCTGTTGGACCGAATTGAAGCCATTAAAGTTAACCAAGCCAGCACCGCCGCTGCTTCCTTGTATCAGATGAGGAGAGGGCACTACAGGTACACCACCTCTCATTATGTATGGAGTGATGTTTGCCAGAGCCTGTTGTCTGTGCTGGTTCATCATGTTGGCAAGGGCACTGCTCCCAGGCTGAAGCTGGAGTGGCGAAGCTACAGAAGCTGAAGCACCATTAGTCGAACTACCGTAAAGGATCCTGTTTGACAACATTGCTTGCTGGCCCTGCTGGTTGTTTGGGACACTACTTCTCCAAACGGTAGCAGTAGTAGCCCATGAAGGATATACTTGGACACGGCCTCTTCGCCTTATCAGAGGAACCACTGGATTAGACGGCATGTTGCTTGAGGAGACAACAGTCTGGTTTCCCTGATTGGGAGTATGGTTTGTTGTCCCAGTGGATGGAGCTTGATAGATGACACGACCAAAAAGCAAAATAGAGCCAGGTTGATTAGCAGGTTGCTGCTGAGCAGTTTGAGTTACACTAGTAATAGTCTGTGAGGGACTTATCTCCATTGTTGCGTCAGAATCTGTTGCCTCGCTACTGCGACCCATGGAAGCTTCAGCAGTACTGCTGCCCAGATCAACTAAGCTCACCTCTAGTGGTGTCACATCAAGGGGTATATTCAGATCTATATCCATTGCAACGTAAGAAGAGTTTGCATGAACCATGTCCAAGGCAGCAGAACCAGAACTTGATGGCAGATGGTAAGTGTTGGGTGCTCCATTTGAGATCTGCATAGGAGGTGCATTGAGATCATTCACTTCAGGACTTGGGATAATACCTTTCCCCTTCTGAGCAGTCACATTGCAACTCAATTGAATACCATTGCTCTCTTTTGAAGCAACACTGTGCACAGCATTTCCCTTACTTTTGACCTTAGCATCATTATTTTCTGAGTTTCTATACATTGCTTCTGAAGCCCTCAGTCGCTGTATGAGACTATCATCTCTTACTAAAGAAGCATTAGTGGCAACGCAGGGACTGCTGTCCTTTGTGGGAGTTTCCATGTCTGCATTGAGATCATTTCCTTCTAGGCTTGGGATACTATCAACTTTTTCCATCTCCTTCTGTGAATTCACTTCGCAGCTCAACTGTATACCACTGCCATGTTTTGATGCAACACAGAGAACCTGATTATTTCCCTCCTTGCCTTTGACCTTGTCGTCATTTTTTTCTGATTCTTTCTTCTCCATTGCTTCATCGAATTCCATCATATGCTGTACAAATGCAGGACCTGTTAACATAGCAGCTGGATCAGAAGTAATGCAGGGGTTGTCTTTGCTATTAGGGTTTTTCATATCAGATGGGGCCATTCTACCATCATCAATATTTGAGTTAGCCAGCTTCTTTTCAGTTGGTTTCCGTGAATGATGCTTAGCAGCATCATTGCATTCCTTCAATGAAGAACAGAGCTCAGCAGTTTTAGCTCCACTTCTGATCTGATCACCTTTAATGGTACCATTTGCTAGCTTAGCACTAATCTCATCAGGAAAAAACATTTTTTTCAAGGTATCCTGTCCACATGACCCACCAGCCACACAATTTCCTTCATCACCATGGTTTGCAATCAGAACACTTTGTGGTACATTTTCCTTCACCTTAGACGAAGACTTTGTGATGCAAACTGCCTCATTGGAACAGCTGTCCTCATTGAAATTCTCCAGCACTGGTGCCTCAGTTTTGGAGATGGTCAAACAGGCAGCTTGACTAGATCTCATTCCAAGTGGAGATGGAGCAGCATTCGATTCACCTAGTAAAACTTTTCGAGTTACATGTTCATTTTCGTCCATAGATGACTCACCATGCCCCTTATCTGGAAGGCTGTGTGCTAGAAGATTAGCAGTAGATTCATGGCAAATTTGATTTACTGGCTTCTTTACATCTTCTGCCTTGGCCTTCATCCTTTCAGAATTTTTAGTAGCTTGAACTGTTGCTATTCCAGACACCTTGGAAAAGTTCATACCAAATTTTGTAATCATCTCTGAAAATACATCCTTTTCTTCCTGTGACCATTCCTTAAGTTTCGATCCCTGAAGGTCATCAGTTTCTGGCTCCTCATCAGACAAAACATTCTTCGGCAAAATCTTCCTAGGCTTCTGTACCATTTTAACAATTACTTTTTCCATTCTTGGTGGAATATCTTGAGCCTTTGCAAATTTCATGCTACTTTCATCTGCTTCAAAACAGGATATCAGCAAAGAATAAATTAATTAAATATATCAAACGGATTCAGAAATATACCAAACTTTAACATGTAGTAACACATGTTGTATGTCGATGGTAGAAAAAGTTTGGAGGGCAGGAGAGGAAAATAAGTTTTAGATTTGCCGAGTGTTGGGGAAAAACACTCGGCAAACTTATCATTTTGCCGAGTGCTGGCTAAAAACACTCGGCAAACGGATCATTTTGCCGAGTGTTGCCGCAAAACACTCGGCAAAGTTGCACTTTTGCTAACGACCGGCACGCCGTCAGACGGCCGTCGCACCTGCCGGTCACGTGATATGATTTTGCCGAGTGTTAATTTATTGCCGAGTGTCGTATTGTGGTTTGCCGAGTGTCTTATATTCTACACTCGGCAAATACGGTTGTTTACCGAGTGTAATATGTATGCTGAGTGTCTTATTAACTACACTCGGCAAATTAGCTCTTTGCCGAGTGCCCGATTAATTACACTCGGCAAATCAATACACACTCGGCATATTTACTGTTTCTGGTAGTGTATGCAATGTTTGAAATTCAATATATAAAATTAAAAGTAGCTGAAACAGTAATAATTTATGTAGTACAAGAGAATTGAAAAAAAAATCTGAAAGCATAAAAAATTAACTGATTTCAGTTATTTACTTTCACATGTAAAACATATATGTTCATGATGATAATTTGCTATAACTCAGAATATATCATTTTTTGTTAAAAAATAATTTCGAGCTAGCCAGTCACATTTTTAAGTAATTTAACTATGAACAGCTACTTTGAAGAACATACCCATTAAGCAGTCAAGTTTTATATGGTAAGAAATCTTGGGGGCCTAATGAAAGTCTCAAGGTTCCGCGCTATGCAGAACTATAATAACATATGGTATGTTTTAGTTTATAAATTACTATACATTATAAATCAAGATCCTTGTTACGGACTGCAAATCATTATTTTTGGCCTGAGATGTTCTATTCCATGCATGTTAGTATTTATATGTGCAATTGATTCTTTCACCTCATGTTTATATAACAAGTGCAACAGTGAACATATGATGATAAACATGGCTTTATTTCTCATTCACTAAATCAAGAAGAGAGTATATAGTAAGGTGGTACTGAAAGAATCATATATTTACAACACAAAATCTTGGTTATCATAAACTAACTTAAAGACTAATAATATACAGGAAGCATCAAAATTGCCTCCATCGAGTTCACTACACATCAAGCCAAACTGAATTTACAGATAGGGTACTATCTGGCCCAGCGTTGAAGATTACACCCATTATGATAATCCATTCTTTTCCATTGAATTCAAAACATCTCTAAATGGTATAAAATTGGCATATCATTCATAAGATGTACAAAACTAAGTAGTCTTATTATATTCTGAGTTAAACCAATTAATGTCTTATATCTCTAGATAGGTCAATTAATTTCCAAGCACAAAAGTGTATATGTAGATCTCGGTCATCATCACTAAATTGGATGTCTTCTTTTTGCTGTTTTGGCATAGTGCTTGGAGCTAAAAGGAAATGGAATTGCATAGGTTTGTGACTTTCACCTCAAGGAATATGTTGCTGGAATAGTAGACATAAAACAGCACAAAACCGGCATAAATTCTAAGGTATAATTAATCAATATATGACAAAATATTCACATCCAGGAACGCTCGCAGAAATAGCAAGACGTAAAACTGGAGGAAGCACCAGGAACCCAAAGGTATAACTAATTTTTTCTAGGTATCCACATCCAAAAATAAAAGAGCAAGCAAAAAAGTTTATGTGGTGACGTAGTACTGTGTTAAGCATCTCTACAGTCATGCATTATCACACTGTCACAAACGCATGGATAATATGACAAAGCTTTTTGACTTGCAAGTCAACGTCCAGTTACCTGGTGGTGCATCACATCCCTGAGAGGAAGAAGAAAGCGCAGACACTGCAATTGCTGTCATGCTTGAACTGCTAATGCTGTTGTCCTCTGCAGCTCAAAATCACACAAAAAAGTTGGTAATCACAAAAACATCTGGTCGAGGTGTTATATTATATGAATTAGTTGAAAGTGTACAAATAAGGCTACCTTTGCGAGGGGCAGCATCCACTTTAGGGAAGATAATTTGAAGATCAACAATGCGTCCTACAGGTTGAGAGAGAAATTACAGTAATTTGGTAAACTCGTAAACATATATCTGGGCAGTAGCTATAGACTGAGAAGTATAATTTAGATAGGTCAATTTCCGTGGAACAAAAGCAAATGCAATAATTGCATAGGTTTGTGACTTTCAACTCCAAAAACATATTGCAGGAATACTAAAACATAAAACAGTATGAAACCATCATTATTTCTAAGGTAAAATTAACCAACATAGGTATATATCCACATACCTACATCATTGTTTTGAAAAACAAAACAAGATCAAGCAAAGTCAGTGTTATAGTTGTTGTGGTGTACAGTTATAACATCTATTTATGTCATGAATCTTAAGTGCTTGTTCAATGTCAACAGTTGAGGCCATGCATCGTATGATTAATGGATATATATGTCGAAACAGAATCAGCAAACTTGATCATTACATAAACATATTCCAAATAGAAACAATTCCTCAAGAATAAAAAAGAGTTTGTCAATAAGAATTGACTCAAAAACACACATTCTTGCAACTCCTGAGGTCATTCATCATTACAAAAAAATATATAACTATTCACCTCCAAAAGCAAGTTGTAGAGAATAGTATAGTAATACAGAAAACATGAGAAAAGCATGAACAGAAGTTCAAAGATATATTAATATTCCAGCATCAGTCATACCCTTCCGAGAATGTATCGGACCACAAAAATTACAAGAAAAAAAATAATATTCACATCCTGGAACACATGCAGAAATAGCAAGACACAAATCTGGAGGAAGCACCAGGAAGTCTGGAACTCAAAGGTAAAATTATTTTTTTCTCTGCATCCAAAAATAAAAGAGCAGCAACCAGAAATGTTTTTGTGGTGCAGTACTGTGTAAAACATCTATACAATTCATGCATTATCACTGTCACAATCGCATGGTATAATATGATATATATATATATATATATATATATATATATATATATAGTGCACAGATTACTAGTAAAATTGGTTATTACATGATGACAAATCTTTGATGCATTACTAATTGCAACTTGCAAGTGAACATCCAGTTACCTGTTGGTGGATCACATGAACTATGAAAAACCCTAATAGCAAAGACGTACAACCCCCTGCATTACTTCTGATCCTGCTATGTTAACAGGTGATGCATTTGTAAAGCATACTTTTTTTAGAAAAGGGAATATGTATGATGAAATTAGATCAAGCAATGGAGACAGAACCAGAAAAAAAATGACGACAAGGTCAAAGGCAAGCAGGGAAATAATCCGGTTCTCTGTGTTTCATCAAAACTTTGTAGTGGCATTCAGTTGAGCTGCGAAGTGAATTCACAGAAGGAGATGGAAAAAGTTGATAGTATCCCAAGCCAAGAACGAAAAGATCTCAATGCAGACATGGAAAATCCTACAAAGGACAGCAGTCCCTGCGTTGCCACTAATGCTTCTGTAGTAAGAGATGATGGTCTTATACAGCGACTGAGGGCTTCAGAAGCAATGTATAGAAACTCAGAAAATAATGATGCTAAGGTCAAAAGTAAGAAGAAAAATCCTGTGCAAAGTATTGCTTCAAAAGAGTGCAATGGTATTCAATTGGGTTGCAATATGACTTCTCAGAAGGGTAAAGGTATTATCCCAAGTCCTGAAGTGAATGATCTCAATGCACCTCCTATGCAGATCTCTTTTTTCGAACCGAGGGGATTCCCCATTTCCATTACATCATAACGGAAATACAGCAGAGTTTAAGATCGTTAAGGCAGCACAGATACATCAGAGAGACGAAATAGAAAACCTCCTATGCAGATCTCAAATGGAGCACCCAAAACTTACCATCTGCCATCAAGTTCTTGTTATGTTTGCGAGAGAAGCGTGCGGGCACTTCAGCAGGGGAAACAGCTTTCTTAGTCAAGCTGCTTATGCTTCCATTCATCCCAGGATCGCTGAGGTCTCCGGCTGGTGGAAATTCACAGCAATTTCATAAATAAAACTCATAAAAACATGCCTGGCCAGCATATATAGGTCAGGTGTGTTGTATAATATTATATACCGGCAAGTTAAGTTTACATGTGGTCACCTGTTAGTGGACGACTAGAACTCTTGGAGAACAATGCAGGCGCAGCAGTAACATGGGAAACCCTCATTCCGGGCATGTCGTCCAAGCTGTTATTGTCACCATGACCTTTGCTTCCTACAGGTACACAGGAGGGAAACCAAAGGGATTTGTTAAGCACAGAAACACAATTTCTACAGACAAGCATAGCATAGAGATCGCTGTCATATAATACTGGTAGGGTTTTAGTTTGTATGGCTTCACCTAGTGGCGGACTTGATCTGTGAGAAGAAGCAGCTTCACCAGTGGCTCCATCATGAGCTACAAGTTTATGTGTAGTCTCATCATCCTTCTTGTACCGACGATTCTCATACTTTGCAAGGCCCTGACCCCAGCCAAGGCGAGTCTTCTTCCTAGCGGCGTCCTTAGCCTCTTCCTCGGCATCAGCATCAGCTGGCAAAGACGAGGCCTTTTTTGAAAGCAGCCTCTTCCTTGCCATGTAGACATTCAACCCTAGCACATCACCCTGGCCATCATCCCTGTGAGCCATGCTCACATCGACATCAGAATTCTTCAAGGGTGCTGGTCGATCTAGTGGCAGCAACCTCTTCTTGCCTGTGGCGGCTGTGGTGCTGCCACTCAAGCCTACTAACACATCATCCTGGCCATCATCCATCTTAGCAGCAGCAGTCATTCTCACATCGACATGGGAACCTTTCACCGGATCTGACACGGGAGGAGTCATCGCATGGGAGCTTGGTGACGATGAAGCAGGTGGCGGTGGAGGAGTCGGGTCCCTCTTCTCTGAGGGAAGAGGAACAGGAACTGGAGGCTGCACTTGTGCAGGTGGCTGGCTTGAAGGGTCGGAGCCTAGCAGTCCAGGGCCACCATGCTGGCGTGGTGCGCGTGGTGCGCTGAAGCCGTGACGACCACCCCTTCCTCGTTGTGCGTGACGACCACGACCCCTTCCTCGTTGTGGCGCCCCTGCCATGGGAGGACGACCTGCGTTCATCACAAGATCGATGACCTAAAGTTAGCCAGAGAAACCTTCTTGATAGTGGTCTAATACGCATGTATATATAAGCACACTACTCAAGGAGATGGACAACACGTACATGCATGTAGATCGAAGAAAACATGTAGGATCGGAGTATGTATTATATCAGAAATTCTTCTATGCAAATATATCGAAACACAGAAAATAATACTATGTGCACATAAGAGATCCACATCTCCTTGCATCGAAAACCCCAAAAAGTGAAAGCTAAACGCATGACAATACTCGCTCCCCATAGATCGATCGAAGAACTACTTGTACTACTCGCAAAAATAAAAAAGAAGTACTTGCACAGGGAAGAAAAGTAAAAATCTTTTTTGATTTAAAATAAAAAGATGCACCTAATGGAACTGAGGAGCTGGAATAAGGAGCTGGAATAGGGCCTTGTTGTAGGTCTGGAGGATTCCAGCTATACTCTACACCAAATCCATAACCATAGTATGGCAATGGCAGGAACGTGTTGGTGTATGGATCATAGCCATACGGCCCTGGATGCGGCCATTCCAGTGGCAGCTGATGACCACCTGACCCATCCATTTCAGATCTGTCACACAATCTATCCACAGATCGCACAAACCCAGGAGCTAGCAACAGAAAGCAGGCCACAAACCTGCTGACTGCTGCTTGGAATTCTCGATCGATCTGCAGAGATCCTCTCTCGAGAGGACGTACGATCGAGAATTTCGCAGATCCCAAAGCTAGGCTCTAGGCCGGCTGAGACCGAGAGCAACACAGTCAAAGGGTGTTGTGGACCTGTGTCACTCGAGGTGGAGAGAGGGGAAAATGGTTAGAGTGCGTGCAGGAGCCTGCGCAGGAGACCCCTGTTCCTTTTGTAGGCAAAAAAGGAAGCCCCTTGGTTAGGTGGGGTCAGGCTTTCTTTCATACGTGGTTTTGGTATTTAATAATGTGATATCTGTACCAGATATCACCTATCCTCAAGATATACTAGTATCAAATATTTCTTCCAGTGCCATATCTGCAGTCTTGGCCCTTGGTTCCATTTTAAATATCTTTGTTAATGCCAGCTAAAAATGACATTGACAGCTGTAGTGTGGTGAAAATGTATGCCAGCTTTATTTTTTATTTTTATTTTGTATTTGTATTTTATTTCTCATTCTTCATTTATTTGTTTCCTCTGGAACCACTACGTGGATGGATACTGCTGTTCCCAGCACCTTTAGTTTTTTGGAGAGTAGCAAGAGGGCTGCGCCATCCATCCAAGAGCTACACGCACTGCCGCCACATGAGAAGCATGCATGCCTGGGGGGTGAGGGTGCCCAGGAATTGAGTGAAACAGTCCCAGGAAATACGTACAGGAAGCTTCTGCGAAAGATGCCAGAGATGACCACCACCACCTTTATAACTATAATAACGCCCGGCCAACACCTTGGCTACCAAGTGTGCGCTAGCCTAATGAGCGTACGTTTCGAGACGACCGCCCACAGCCCTGTGTGGTTCACTCCTGCAGCACTCTAATCGATCGTCGTTTCGTGGCTCCATCGACCACCGATAAGGATGGTGTGATGGTTTTCCTTAAGTACTAAGGTTTCCTTCAAAACTGAAAGTTGCCTTTTTTTTCCTCACCACCAATAGACCAGATGGCAGGAATAATTAATAAGCTCCAAGGATTCTACCTACTACGGCCTTGTTTGGATGTAGGTGGATTCACCTAAATACACATATGTTGGGGTTAAATTCCACTCCAATACACTCTAACACACGTGAATTGATGTCAATCCAACTACATCCAAACAAAGCCTACATGTTTTTTTACCACACTCTTAGTTTTTTTTTTCTAGTTGCATGCAATTGGTTGTATGTCATGTATGTATATCCATCTACCACGGTCATCACATAGCTGATTAAAGTCTTGCAGCAAATTTAAGAGGAGGGTGCATCATCCTTATTAGCTTGCCGTCCATGATTCCAGTCACATCTGGTGTAGCATCACTGGACCAATGAGTAGGCTACACTATGCATAATTAGTGTAACCAAACTTAGCTAGCTTGATGGATGAAAATTGAAGACCAGAGATATAAATAAGCAAATTGAGCATATATAAATATGCCAAAGGAGTAGGATGCCTTTTTAGACCGATTTTTTTTTCAAGATATCAATGTTTGACATGTATAGTGGTGACACAGCTTTCTTACCAAGCACATAGCATGACAATGACCATGTACCTCTATAGGCCAGCTTTGGGTACGCCATTTCCTGCCAAATGAGTTTAGGGCCTAAAAAATACTATTTTGCATATTGATCTCTAACATAACTTCTATGGCATGTAGTTAGCCAGGTAACAAAATGTATTGTTGTTGATTCATGCACTCACCCTAGAAGATCGCCAATTACACTTGTCCTGGAAAATATGTGGCTTCCTTTTTATATGACAAGAGCTTACCACTCTATAATACTATCCTAGTTTCATTGATTTATCTTGGTGTGCCTTGACTCTCTCTCTCTCTCTCTGAAATAGATTTGAGATAGAAGGACAAGGGTTCGGCAGCGGCGATCATGGCCACTAGTGTGGTCACCATGATAAACTTCTCACTGTTTTCCCATTTTATTGGCAATTCATGATTTTTTTAGGATAATTTCTTAGAAAATGTTATGGCAAGAAATCTTTTAAGTTCTTTCTCCAAGTTGTGACACTGTTTGTATTTTTCTATTTTTTATGATTTTTTATCAGAATTTAATGTCTTCATGTTTTTCATGAAAATGTTTCTCAAAATATTTTGTTTACATTTTATTGATTCTTTTCTTATCTATTTTTCCTCAAGATAAACTCATCCCTCTTTTTTTTTGAAACTAACTCATTAATGGAGATGAGTTGCTTACCTAACGAGATAAGGGAGACGAACCCATTAATGGTAAAATGATAAGAAAGCAACTTTCCAAAGAAAAGGGAATTGTCATGAAGCTGTCGGATCATGTGCTAAATAAGGCTTGCGTCATGCCCTAACTAGAAACACCAAATAACGCAAATATTTTTTCACATTTATTTCCCTTAGCAGCGAATATTTGAGTATAACCTAAGAGGATGACATCATACAACTTAGCTAGGTCCATATTTTGGGAAGTTACATTTTGAAAGAGTGACGGCTTAAGCATGCCCCTCCTAAGGTTGATTCTTGGGAAATACCTTCCAAAGACATGGCTGCTTCGCCCTTTAGTTTTTGTAGCCTTAATCTCACTGTAATTAGATTTTTAAAGTAGAGAGGAAAATTGTGAAAAGACACATCCCCTACAATCTCGAAGTTGTTCCTTGCAAATTAAAATTACTTGGGTGTTCTACTGTCCTTCCAAGTGGACGAGCCCATGACCCTATGGCCATATCGATTGCTAGCATGGTATGCTATCTGTTTAGTTGGCCTAGGCTGGTCACATAATCCTCAACAAGGTTACTCTCTCCTCGATGATCATGTACTTCCCTACTATGGTCTCCCTCTCCCTTGTATCATCCAAGCAATTGACAAACTATGCAATGCATTTCGGGACTAATATGGTGTTCGACAGTCACTGTTTGTAGCCTAGGACATAGTGAAGAGACCGTGTGAGCTTCGGGGCTTAGGGGTCCTTGACCTGTGACTCATGGGATTGGCCCTAGCTACACACATGTGCTAGCTCTAGTTACGAAGGATGGATCTTGAGAGGTTCTAAGTTTTGCTTGTCAAGGAATATGACAAGCTAATACCTTTTTTCAAATGGATGGCAAAACCTTAGCACTAATTTTATTAGGGGAAACAAAAGAAAAGAAGAAACAACAATTGTACAACTAACATACAATTAGGAACTAAAAACCAAGCAACCTTGAGGGAAAAATCCTCAGAACACACTCCCTAAGCCCCATGTTACTAAGATAACTTACAGAAACACTCAAAACAAAGTAAGAGAGTAGCACTAATGAGATTGGCTAAAACAATAGACAGGACACACGGAAGCAGAAGCAATAAAGTTAGAACTTGTTTATGACCAAGCAAGATGATATTCTTCGATCTCTTCCTTTATGAGGAAGGCAAATTCAAATGGTCATTTTAAAGTTTGCTCAAAATTTCTTTGATTTTGTTCCTTTTTTATATTCCGCATAAATAGATGATTAAGCCTTCAAAGTCACTTCTACTTTCCTTTTCAATCTCTTCTACTATCCTTTTCAATCTTCAATCTAGCCTTTCTGGCCTTCCTCCACAACCTATATGCGGACCCCCTACATTTAACAAAGCTTACGATGGAAAAATTACCTCAACTTAAGACTATGCTCTAGACTTGATTTGTGAATGGAAAGTTCTTGCAAAGAAGATTGATCATTTCATTGGTTGCATTACACAGCTTGCATTGCAGATAGTGTTCGCCTAAACGGCCTAAACGGCCGATTAAACGACCACTAAACGGTAAACGGTGGTAAACTGTTTTGTTTTGGGGGTAAATGAAAATTAAACGGTTGACCGTTTAAACAGTCAAAAAAGGGAAAAAATGGTATAAACGACCTAAACGGAACGGAGATAAACGGTATTAAACGGGCTAAACAGCTGTTTAACGGATGTTTAGGCGAACACGAGGTAAATCTAGTTCAGTTTTGTATGGATAAATTTGTATACTTAAGTTTATTATATTTATAAATGTGTACACTTATATGTTACATACATAAATATCTATATTTGGTTCTTTTCACATGCATAAATATATATACATACCAAAATAATTGATTTTTACTCGGATAAATATGTATAAATGCTAGAATACTTGATTTTTTACATGAACATATATAATTATATGTATTTTTTTTAAAGTACAAAACCGTTTAACTTCGTTTAAACACCGTGTAAACAGCCTAAACGTTAAACGATGGGCGACCGTGTAAAGACCGTTTACCATTTAGGAAAACATTGATTGCAGATCATGGGGCCTCTAGGGACCGTGACACCTAACAGGGGGTGAATTAGGCAACTTAAAAATCTACTTCTAACTATGGCCTCTAATTTCAACCTTAGCAAAACCAATGCAACAAAGTAAACTATCTAAATGTGTAACTATGGTTTTGCTAGGTGTGTTGCTATCTCTACCGCAACAAAGCTATGCAACCTAGGTTCAAATCTATCAACTAAGCTAGGAAAGGTAAAGCACATGAAAGGATCAAGATGCCCAAGAGGGGGGTGAATTGGGCTAATTCTAAATTTATTTACAATAATTAAGTCCTATGGTTAGCCCAATTAACCCCTTGTGCCTAAGAAGTGTTACTAGTTGTTCTACCGCACAAATGACTTGCAACCTAAGTTCCAATCCTACTCTAGCATGGCAATTCTATGAATTGTAAAGACAAGAATTGAATTGCTCAAAGTAAATACTCAAAGTAAATGCTCAAAGGAAATAGAGAAGGAGGAACGCGGCGATGTTTTGGCGAGGTATCCGAGAGTCGTCACTCCCCACTAGTCCTCGTTGGAGCACCCGCGCAAGGGTGTAGCTCCCCTTTGATCCATGCAAGGATCAAGTGCTCTCTATGGGTTGATTCTTCGACACTCCGTCGCGGTGAATCACCCACAACCGCTCACAACTTGAGTTGGGTCATCCACAAGCTCTCTGGATGATCACCAAGCTCTCCAATCACCACCAAGCCGTCTAGGTGATGGCGATCACCAAGAGTAACAAACACGAACTCTCACTTGACCACAACAAGCCTAGGGAGAAAGATGGATGCACACTTTGCTAGTCTTGATCTCTCTAATGAGGGCTCTCTTTGGGATTCTCAAATCTCAATCACCTCACTAGGACCTTGCTCTTCTTGGCACTCTCTAAGGTGTGTTTCAGCTGTTGGAATGAGCAAAAGTAACTCCACACACGAGTGGAGCTTCTATTTATAACATGGGCTGAAAATGAACCATTATGTGCCTCTGCGGGGTGACCGGACGCTCCGGTCATGTTGACCGGACGCTCCGGTCAGTACACCCCGAACTTCAGTGATCACAGTGTGATCGGACGCTGCCAGCGTCCGGTCAGCACTGACCGGACGCGTCCGGTCACGATTTTGCTTCTCTGGAACCTTACTGGAAACGACCAGACGCAGGCTCTCAGCGTCTGGTCACTTGACCTTCCAGCATCCGGTCGCACCGAACGATATCACCTTGGTCAAATGAACTGACCAGACCATGAGCCAGCGTCTGGTCAAACCGGAGCCAGCGTCCGGTCAGTATTTGACCCTCCATTCACTTCCAACTCTCGATCATATGTGAATGAAGTTTGCTCCAATGGATCTTAGGCATATGTAGGAGCTACCAAGCGCTAGTTTTAACAAGTGTGCACCACACCTAACTCACTAGACTCACGGTCAAGCTACCCGTCCATACCCCCCTTAATAGTACGGCCAAAGGAAAAACAAAGTCCTAAACTACTCTAAGTGTCTCTCCAATTCCAATCGACACTTAGAACTAGTCATCCTTAACCTTGTCGTCCATCCTTTGAAAACCGAAATGATTTCCATCGTAGGGGCATGACATCCATGATTGCCCAATCGATCTCCATTACCATGACCTAACTTAATTGCCTCTGCAAAACACACGTTAGTCATAGTAATCTTGTATTGCCATTAATCATCGAAACCCAACTAGGGGCCTAGATGCTTTCAATCTCCCCCTTTTTGGTGATTGATGACAATACCACCTCGAGTATGTGAAAGAGTTGAGGTTTTTATCATGCTTGGATCATATAAGCTTTTATCAATAAGAACAAAAGAGTTAGGCAAGCTTATATGACCCAAGCCAACATAATGTACTCAAAAGATATGAAATAAGCATGAGTACAAGTACTAAAGCTCATTTGCATCGGAGTATAAATGCGGAAGCAAAGCAAATGAGCATGACACAAGTGATATGACATATAAATAATCCAAAATAGAGAGCACACATGTCATATATCACAATCATGTGGATATCACTATCACATAGACATAGTTTAATGCATGAAGGTAAACACACAAATGCATAATAGTAATAGTGTATCACACAAATAAAACTCCAAATGTATATAATAAGCTAATAATAGATAACAAGCTCCCCCTAAATGTCGCTCCCCCTGAGTCTACATACTCGAACCCTCTCCCCCTTTGGCGTCAAACACCAAAACCTAAGGGTCGGTCGGCGGGGCTGCAGCGGACGAGTCGGGCACTGAGGTACGAGGAGCAAGCGTGAACTGGGTGCCATCATCGTCTGATCCTGAGCTCT